TGGACAACGTCCCGATTGGCCAGGGGCCCTTTATAAGGTCCTAGGGTTGGGGAGGAAAGGAAGAACTTCAGTATTCAGAACCTGGGGAAAATAAAGTGCTGTAGAGAAGACCGTCTCCGGAGTCGTCTGTTGCGCGACAAAAAGGCATATGAAAAAATGCTTGACATCACTCATCATAAGGAAAATGCAAATCAAAACAACAATGAGATACTAACTAACTCAGTCAAAATGTCTAAGATTAAAAAAACAAAAAATGGTAAGTGTTGGCAGGTGTGTGGTGAAAGGGAAACTCTTTCACTCTGCTGGTGGGAATGTAAATTAGTCCGGCCACTGTGGAGAACAATTTGAAGATTCCTCAAAAATCGATAAATAGAACTACCATATGATCCAGCAATCCCACTCCTTGGTATATATCCAAAGAACAGAAGAATTCTTCATTGGAAAAGTGCTCGCACATCGATGTTTATTGTGGCACTATTCACAATTGCTAAGACATGGAACCAACCCAAACGCCCACAAACAGATGAATGGATTGAAAAACTGCGGCACATATACTCTATGGAATACTATTCAGCTATAAAAAAAACAGCAAAACCCTTACTTTTGACAGAAAGTGGAAGAATATGGAAGATTTACTACTGATTGAAGCAAGCCAGGCTACGAAGGAGAGACATTGTATGTCCCCTCTTTATATATACCTAGTGTCAGCACCCTATGACTGAAACTGATTGACTAAAGGATATACAAACACAGTAAGTGAGTGTAAATACCAGATATAGTGTGTGTGGAAGAGTAGGGCCTGAGGAAAGACATTTAGAAGAAAAATAGGAGGTAAAGTATTAATGGGACAAAGAAATGTGATATTATCTGTTGAAGCTATTTTACAGTTTAATCAACTGGACGGGGGAGAAATGTTCGCATATTGAAATATGCACTTTGTGAGGTAAATAATGTGATTGAATGTATAAGAAAATGAAATTTAAAAAAGAGGAAAAATAAAGAAGGAATAGAGCTTACTTACTGCTTCCTCTTTTTTTGAAGCAGGCAAACAAGGGCAATTGTTTCTGCAGTTGACAGAGATGGACCATTCTCCAGCTTTTTCCTTGACATTTGAATGAGTAACTTGGAGCCTACTGCCCTCACTGGTGGGGGTTAAAGTCCACAGATAGGGTGAGGGTTAAGATGGTCATAGATTGGGATCAGCAGCTGGTGTAATGGCTACATCTCTGGACTCCCATGTAGTCGACTACAGTTTGAGTTCCAGACCCGGTGGCTTAAACTCCTGTCAGGTGCATGAGCATGCATGCCCAAGATCCCGAGAGGAGAATGGAGGAGAAGAGATTGTGGCCTGGCCATCCCTGGCATGGCCATTCTCCCCCTCACCCCCTTTCTGTCTCTCTGTTTCTCTGGCAAGTGCATGCACCCTATAGCAAAAACCTCTCCAAAAAACATAAATAAATAAAAGGTGGTTAGAGATTGGTTTAGCCACAGTCTCAAATCCAGTTTTACCCAAAAAACTCTGTATGTTGTGTTTTACTGCACAGCCATAGATAAAACTGATTCTTTATTTTAAAGTTCATTTAAATGTATTTTTTCTGAAAGAGAAAAGAAAAACACTCTCAACAGGATCTTCATGCCATGATCTACTCTCAGCCCCAGCTAGCCAGGAGCACGGGCGTGTACCTGTGTGCCCAGTGAGCAAACCCTGAGATGTTGTTATAGTTTGGATAATGGTCTGCTCCATAGAGATTCATGTTTTGCTATCTAGTCTCTGTAGGTGATGATGATGGAACCATAGAGATGCCAGTCTCATGAATGGTACCTTAGCCTGCTTTTACATTGCTAACCAAAATATGTGAAACTTGATAAATTTCAGATAACAGAATTGTATTTTGACTCACAGTTCTGGTGGCTGGGAAGTCCAAAGGCATCACAAAACAGCAGAGGCCATCAATTTTAGCAGAGCAGAGCATGGTCTGTATCCATGTGGCACGCTCTCTCTCTGCATTCTGATTTTCTTCCCTCTGCTCATTAACTCAACAGAATTTAATCAGGGAAGCCTCACTGTAAGGATGATCAGACCCAAAGGCTCACCTGGACACCATGAAGGAATTAAGTCTTCTTTAACACATTTATAATGCTGTCAATACAATCAAGCCCTAACACATGAATTTCTGGAGAATATTCAGTCACTACCCACTAAGACCAAATTCCAAAACATAAAACTTTGGAGAACAAACCATGTCCCAAAGCACAATGAATGTATTAATGCTGTCTCCGGAGACAATGGAATGAGTTCTAGCTCTCAGGAGGAGTGAGCTCTTGGGAAAACTGCCCTTAGTTCTCTCTCTGCGCATGCCAGCCATCCCCCATGCTTCTGTCAGTCATGCTGGAGGCTGGCCTACGCCTTTGACTTTTTCCAGTCACCAGAATGGTGAGTCAATAAACCTCTGTTTCCTTATAAATTGCTCTCTCCGGCATTTCTATTAGCAAAACAAAAACCCACTAGGAGAGATGTGGACCCAGGACCTGCCTGTGCGGGTTTAGTTGTGTTACTGTTGCACCACCATCTCACCCCACACTGACTCTTTCTACCTTCTGTCTCTGTGTCTCTGTTAGACCCCCAGGACCCTCAGGGGAGAAAGAGATATTAGAGCCCAAGGTTCCAAGAGAAGCACTAGTGAAGATGGAAACAAAAGGTACGTGTTCACTGACTTGTACTTTTCTTGGTATTTTGAGAAAATTCTGTTTATCTGCCTGTCCAGTGCCAGAACCAGGAACCCAGTTAGTCTCTCTGAACCTTAGGTCCTTATTGGTAGGATAAAGATTGGGTGGGGATGAGGTTGAGCATTTGGCATGGTGGTTAAGGCACTGGACTCCCACATAGCCAACCATGGTTTGAGTCCTGGATCTGGCAGATTGAAAATCGCTCTGGGCATGTGTGCATGTGTGCCCAAAATCCTGAGGGGAGAATGGAGAAGGGGTTGCAGCATGACTATTCCCACTGGGGAGTGATTTCTCACTCACTCTCTCTCTCTCTCTCTCTCCAACAAGCACACATGTCCTATGGAAAAAAAAAATAAGGGTAGCTCATTTTAAACAAGGGTCATGCCATTCCTTATGCCCCTTGGTTCATAATAGGACATGTACACCGCCTGGTGAGTTTTCTATCCTCTCACCTTGAATGGCATTCTGAATGCCTTCTGGGCTCTAGGACATCCTGATAAAATGTCAGAGGTGATTAAAAAAAATAGTAAAGACAAACAACAGGAATCTTTGATCTCTGGGTCTGATTATCAGTCCATTAAAAAAAAAAAATAGAGAGTGAGGTCCAGTAACGCTCTCTAACCACATTAAACCACAGCGTATCTGATGCTCTGCTTGCTGCAGGGGCCTGTAGTCCTCAGGAAATCTAATAAAGGAAGTGTTTTATCTCTGCTCTCACTAAAGCTGTCACACTGTGTTATGGGCAGTAGAAAGTAAGATCTGGAAAGTCCAGCACCAGGACTGTCCTACGCCCATGTCCGTGAGTGCTGCTAGGGATAAACCCTCTGTTTCTAACGTCGATTTTCCATGGAGAGAGAAAACAGAAGCTCTTAGGGATTAATGATCTGCTCAGAATCATAGAGAAGGTACCAATAGAGTAGGAAAAACAAAGAAACTGTGCCAACTAACTGAAAAACAAAAACAAACCCTGACTATCTACCATGAGCCAATATTTTGCTAGTCTCTAAGAGCAAGATTAAAAAGATTTTTTTTTTAAGAGAGATTTTTGCTATAGGACGCATGAGCTCTCCAGAAAGAGACACACAGAAAGTGAAACATCACCCCCCAGGAAGGATGGCCATGCCACAATCTCCCTTCTCCTCCATACTCCTCTCTGGATCTTGGCAAGCATGCACAAGCACCATGCGTGAGTTTAAGCCACTGGGTCCGGGACTTGAACCACAGTTGACTATGAGGGAGTCCAGCAACATAACCATTATGCCATCTACTGGTCCCAGTTTATTCGTCTTTTTAAATATAGGTCTCTGCCCACCCCCACAGGAGCAATAAAGTATTGGTGCTGCTGTGGAAGAACCTTGCAAAAAGTACCACCTTATCACTCAAGAGGGAGTGGCAATTCTTTCAGGAGATGAGAGTCAGAAAGCGCTTATCCAAAGCGTACGCATGTGGTGCCAGTTTGGTGGCATAGCAGTAACGCATTACTAAAGAGATCTTGATCCGTAGGAAAGAGCGCAGGCTCAGTTGGCTGGCCAGTCTGCACTTACCAGGTCCCTGGCTGGTTGGGAAGGCTGGGTAGCAGAATCAGGGCATGAGACCCTGTTAAGTATGCTTCTCTCTCTCTCTCTCTCTCGCTCTCTCTCTCTAAAAAGCAATGAACTTTTAAAAAGATTGTTTTTTTTTTAAAAAGTTACACATTTTAATATAAAGTATGTATTATATATTAAAAAGGTTTCTCATATATTACATATAGATTTTATATGTATCGACTTCTTTCCAATCCAATTGCAACCCAATTTCCATAACTTAAGAGGCACATATAGGGGATTCGAAAATGTTTTAGTAGAGTTAAATATAATTTTATTGAAATCATTTTCCTTGTAGTCAATCTTAATAGTTATGGATTATGGATCAAATTGGTCTAAGTTAGCAGGACTCCCATGTCACAGATAATATGGCTAAGAATACATGGCCTAAGAATGGCACCATTACCACAGGTCTGGGAAGAGCCCTGAAAGTGCACCGATTTACTTCACTAGAATAAAACTCATGTTTTCCTATCAAACATTTACTTAAAAATATCTAGATGACTATTTATGTATCTTGGAAGCTTAAATAAATTGTATCTTTGCAGTAAATCCCAGTGGAATCAGCAATTAATGTTAGACTCATTCTCCAACAAGTTGCTTACAAGGAAAAGTGGTTTAGTGTCAAATATCACCATGATAAGAGCTGTTCTTTCTGCAGAGTGGAGTTGGCATTAAGTACTCAGGTACTTGCTCAGGAATGGCTGTTTTGTTTCAACTGAAGGCCAAGTTGAATGCCCACTCTGAGTGACGCAGCAGGAAAAGGTAATTGTTACATCTTAACTCTACAGAATGCAGAATTTGCTTAAGCCACCATTCATGAAGCATATATAATGGATCAGTGGCATTTTAAGTGCTTTCTATCTGTTGTCATAGTCGATCTTCACAACAAGCCTTTGAAATTCGTATGATTACAGCCATGTTTACAGATGCATAATCACAAATTATAAGAAGTAAAATAATATGTCCAAATCTACACAGGTACTAAGTGGTTAAAGCCAAGATTTGCTTTTGCATTCTAAACTATGATGTGATAAACTGCATGCTAGGCATTTCAGAAGAAGAAACAATACCAAAGTTTTCATCCTTGACTTTTAGGATTCTACAATGTTTGGGAAGTCAGATATTTATGAAAGTGAAGTGCTGTAAATGCTGAAGTGTTAGAAGCAGTCTACTAGTAGTATTTTTAAAAAGAGAGAGACACCAGCCAGTGATGCAGGAGTAGCACAATGCTCTGTTATGCTGGACCCTCATGGGTAGGTCCCAAGTTCACATCCTGGAGCCTGAATATACAAGTCAGGTGTGTGTGTGTGTGTGTGTGTGTGTGTGTGTGTGACAAAGTCTTGGGATGGATCACAGCAATAAGACTGTAAATTTGCCTCTCTTTCTCTCACTCTCTTTCAAGAACTAAATGAATAAACTTTTAAAAAGGAGAAAGAAGTATTTGGAAAGCTTCCTTGGAAGAGGTAGGACTTTTGTGAAATGTAAAAGAAAGTCATTTCTACAAGTTATCACATGGAAAAGGGAACCCTGGGCAAGGGTGGGTGTACACATATGTAGGTTATGGACTGGACCATAGTCTAGTGTTTAAGGGACCCAGATCCCACGTGGCCAACCATGGTTCAAATCTTGGCCCTGGCAGCTTGAAAAGCAAGCCATGCATGTGTGTATGTGTACCCCAAATCCCGACAAGATGGAAAAATGAAGCAATTGCAGAGTGACATGCCCCATTAAGGGATGCTTTCTCCTTCTTTCTGTCTGTTTCTCTCTGGCAAGAGTACACAACCTCTGATAGTTAAAGATATAAGGTTATGCTCAGAGGTCACCCTGGGTAGAGGGTGACTAGAGGCCATGATGCATGAGGGTATAGGAGATGATGGGCTTGAAAAGCAGAAGAGAATAAAAAGATCAAGACCACAGACTACTTCCCAAGGAAAAAAATGGGAAGAATGTTACAGCTATAAAAATTTTCATATAGTTCCAGATTTCTCAGTGGATAAAAATATTTTTTTACTGTTGTTTTGAGGATATCTACTCAGCAGCGTCTATTAATAATGTAACCTAAGATTTCTATGTCCCAGATCTTCTCTGTCTGGTGCCCCCTCATTCTCACCTAACCTAGACGATAAGGAAATCAAGGAGAAAGAGGTGAATCTAAAATGCACAAGCCCTTACGGGCTTAAAAGGAGGCAATATGGAGCCAGCCAAGTGGCAGAACGGTTAAAGTGACCATATCCCACTTGAGCTACTGCTCAGTTTGTGTTCCAAACCTGGTGACTTAGAAAATACACCAGGCACATGTGCATGCATGTGCAAAATCCTGAGAGGAGAATGGAGGTGAAGGGATTATGGCACAGTCACCCCCTCCTCACCAAAGTGAGGCTGCTTTCTCACTTTCCCTGTCTTTCTTTTTCTGCCTCTCTCCAGTGAGCACACATGCCCTATAGCAGACTTTAAAAATAAATAAATAAATAAATAAAAATGAAAAATACGGGGCCAGCAGATGGCATAATGATTACGTTGTTGGACTCTCGTATAGTTGACTGCAGTTTGAGATCCAGACCCAGCAACTTAAAACTCAGGCTGGGTGCATGTGCGTATGTGCCCAAGATACTGAGAGGACAACGGAGGAGAAAGGATTACGCTGTGGCCATCCACCCTGGGGTGTGATTTCTTGCTTTCTGTTTCTGTGTCTCTCTCTCTATCTCTTTGGTGAGCACACATGCCCTATAGCAAAAAATATCTCTCTTAAAATAAATAAATAAATGAATAAATACAGATAAACAAGAGAGAGAGATTTAGGGAGCAGAACTCCAGATGCCTGCTGTGTAACAGGCGTCCCCCCATAACAGAGTCTGGGATGAATCTCCCTTCAATTCCCACGTTACTGGAATTGTTAACCATGGGCCTTTATAGGAAGGCTGCCTGGTTAATTAAACCTTCTGAATGAATCTGTGTTGTTCTGTGGTCTGCTGGTTCATTACAGGACAAGTCTTCAGTCTCACTTTCATGGATCACTGTTTTCATCGAACACGTCTGGCTCTCTTTGGCACCAAGCTCCCAATGAGTCAACACCAGAGTCAGGTCTTTTCAAACTACTTTAATTTGCTTTATTTTTCATTTGTTGCAAATACCATTGTTCCTGCAAATGTTGTTTTTTTATCATCTGCCAAAAATATAAGAAATTACTGGTAATTCTTGTAGTTTTCTTCCTTGTAGAAAGTCGTAGAAGTCGTTTAACATGAAGTTCAGGCAGTTGGGAACAGTATGTTTGGTCAACTTTGCTATGTTGAATGCCTTGAAGATCATTCTGAGCAGGAGTCACATATGAATTACTAAGTACCCAGTAAAGCTGAAAGAGAGATGGAAAGTGTTTACTCATTGAAGTAATTTCTGGGAAAGAAACTTGGAACAGAATTTGGAGAATACTGTGTTCTGGCTGGAACGTTTTGGTTAAAAACTACAAAACCATGGCTGTGGAGAATATGGGCTTTATTTTCCCAAAGTGTAGACCTCAGCTGCTTCTGGTAAAAGTCATTACCAAATTACTCATTGACTTGAAGTGGGCTTCAGGTTGGCATCCGCAGTGACAATAACAGTGACAGTAATGTTAGCTCCCAGCTGTTACGTACTTACCATCAGTCAGAACTCTATTAAATCCTTTACACAAGCTATTAAATGGAATGCTTAGCAAAACAGTAAGGTAAGTACTTTAAGCTCTATTTTACACTAGAGAGTTTAAATATTTTAGCCAATGTTAAAGAGCTAGAGAAGGAACCAGGCTCTGGAAAGATTCTAAAACCCATGTCCTTAACTACTCTAACAGTCAGCCTCTCAGATTCACAGCCAAGCAAGTCTTGGGGGATGGGGGACAGTGTTTAAGTGCCTCCTGTGTAGACAGATACCCATACAATTGTGTCTCTGCTCTTTGGAGTATAGAGTGTTTGCTAACCCATAGTAGTTATCATTCCTAATGAGCTTAAGATGACAGTAGAAACTGTCTTATGGTCTCCTCTCCACCATCCAACTGACACTTTTATAGAAGTAACTTTACAAAGATCTGACTGTTCTACTGCTGCCCTCAGATAACTTTAGTGGTTCCCTATGAACAATGTAATAAATCTAAACTCCGTCCTCCATTGATAGTCCGCCTGCTGACCTTTACCCCCTTAAAGTGCATTACGAATCCCTGCCAATTCTATGTTCTTCTCATGGTGGGTTACCACCAACAGGCATGTGATTTCCTGCTGGTGCACTACTTTGTTATGCTGTTTCTTTTCCTGATGTTCCATACCTGCCCTAAGTCTTAAACATCTTTTAAGACTCAGATGAAAGCATTGAAGGCAGAGTCCACCTTACCATTTTCTGATGTACACTATTTCAGTTATGGCGTATCTCAAGGTTTCCCTTAGAGAAGAAGACTCATCTGTGTATACATCTGTCTTAACTCATGGCTCTATTCCACTCGTGTTCCTTTCCAGCTCAGGAGCATCTGGTTCATTTTGAATTCATTATGTCTTGTACAATGCTCAACTCATGTTCAGAAAATGACAGTCTGGTGGAATCAAGTACTCACTCATGGTATCTATTTCTATTACTATTTCAACAGTAGACAGAATGTGTTTATGTCATGAAATGACCAAAAGGCAAATATTTTTCTGATAGGTCTAAACAATATGTCATGTCTGATCCATGACCGTCTATCTTCATGGAGACACTAACACAGATGTTTAGGTCAAAACTTGTATAGAACTCATCTGTAAGACAAGGATCCACATTTGAAAGGCAAGTTTTTTTTTTTTTTAATTTAAAGAAGGATTTTTCTACATAATGAAGAGGTTCATTCAATATCTCACTGCTTTTATCCAAGAGCTAGCTCTGAGACGTGAAGAAGCAGCCTGAGGTGTTTGAGTTGAATATTCTATGGGTAATTCATCTAGTTTAATCTCGAGCATGGAATTTGTAGTGCAGGGACTGTACTTATGCAGCCATTTATTTTCTTAACAATGACCGATTAGACCCAGGAAATCAACCAGAGTTTTCCATCACTTACAGTCATCTCCAGTGAAAATATTGGATCTGTTTCATTTTAAATATTTTTAGCTTATTTTTTTTATTACATGAATATATGCTTGTGTCATTGTTATCTATCTTAAACTGAACATAGAATGGAATGGCCAAACAAAGTCTGGTCAGGTTGATTATTTGGGTCCTTTTAATTTAACAAATTAAGTGGGTCCGAGTTAGGTTACATATATAACTGTTTTGGAATCCAGACAATGTGAAAATACATGGCCTTGGGTTGCATATATGTGATCCAGACCTGTCTGGAAGGATGTAGCAAAACAGAAAAACTAGAGTCTGAAACGTGGGACACAAGAACAATTTTCTCACCAGGATATTTTAACCCATCTACGATAGACAGGGAGACCTTTCTAGAGAGAAACAAAATGTTACATATGGGAAAAGATTTTAGATCAGTAGACAAGACTCTCTCTGCAATATTCAGGCCAGAAGATTTTACATTTCTACACAATGTGGAAGGTCATAGAAGTATTTATTCACTCAAGAAGTATTTACTGAGGGACTGCACTAGGCCAGACACCAATTTATGTACTGGTATGCACCAATCAAAATCTCTGCTACCATTAAACTTACGTTCTCGACTGAGAAGGAAACAAACAAGTCAGCACAGAATACACTATCAGCCATTGCAGAAGAAGGATAAAGTAGGGTAAAGATATATATAGCATCTGGGGATATGTCAGGAAACAGGATATCAGAGAGAACAGCCAGGGGCCTCTTACCTGATAAGACAGCAGGAACCTGAAGGAAACAAAGAAACAGGCCAGGGAGAGATGAGGGGACTGGCTTTCCGCCAAGAGAACAGCAAGGGCAAGGACTGGATGAGAACAGCAAGAAGGTCGTGGTGCCAGGCAAGGGTGGCAGGATGTGAGGTCAGAGCGGTGTCCAAGAGAAAGGTCACGCTCCGCTCAGGCACAGGTTCCTTGGGACTGGGACTGAGGCAATATTTATATACAGAGAAATGCAGATATTAGGTGGGAAATTACAGAAACACAAAGTACAGAATGTTTCCATTACCCCTAGAAGTTCCTTCCCCCACTTGCAGTCGATCTCACTGTGCCCTGTAAAGCATACAGTCTCCTGGGTTTTCCCGCACAGTGGATTAGTTTCACTTATT